GAGAGAGAGTGAGAGAGTGTGCGAGTGAGAGAGAGTGTGCGAGTGAGAGAGTGTGGGTGTGTGAGAGGGTGTGTGTGTGTGAGAGCGTGTGTGAGTGAGTGAGCGTGTGTGAGTGAGCGAGCGTGCGAGAGAGAGAGAGTGCGTGTGTGTGAGAGTGTGCATGTGAGAGTGAGTGAGTGAGTGAGAGAGATTGTGCGTGAGTGAGAGTGAGTGTGTGTGTGTAAGGGAGTGAGTGAGAGTGAGTGTGTGTGTAAGGGAGTGAGTGAGCATGCGTGTGAGTGTGAGAGAGTGTGCGAGTGAGAGAGTGTGGGTGTGTGAGAGGGTGTGTGTGTGTGAGAGCGTGTGTGAGTGAGTGAGCGTGTGTGAGTGAGCGAGTGAGTGTGTGTGTGTGCGAGTGTGTGTGTGTGCGAGTGTGTGTGTGTGCGAGTGTGTGTGTGTGCGAGTGTGTGTGTGTGCGAGTGTGTGTGTGTGCGAGTGTGTGTGTGTGCGAGTGTGTGTGTGTGCGAGTGTGTGTGTGTGCGAGTGTGTGTGTGTGCGAGTGTGTGTGTGTGCGAGTGTGTGTGTGTGCGAGTGTGTGTGTGTGCGAGTGTGTGTGTGTGCGAGTGTGTGTGTGTGCGAGTGTGTGTGTGTGCGAGTGTGTGTGTGTGCGAGTGTGTGTGTGTGCGAGTGTGTGTGTGTGCGAGTGTGTGTGTGTGCGAGTGTGTGTGTGTGCGAGTGTGTGTGTGTGCGAGTGTGTGTGTGTGCGAGTGTGTGTGTGTGCGAGTGTGTGTGTGTGCGAGTGTGTGTGTGTGCGAGTGTGTGTGTGTGCGAGTGTGTGTGTGTGCGAGTGTGTGTGTGTGCGAGTGTGTGTGTGTGCGAGTGTGTGTGTGTGCGAGTGTGTGTGTGTGCGAGTGTGTGTGTGTGCGAGTGTGTGTGTGTGCGAGTGTGTGTGTGTGCGAGTGTGTGTGTGTGCGAGTGTGTGTGTGTGCGAGTGTGTGTGTGTGCGAGTGTGTGTGTGTGCGAGTGTGTGTGTGTGCGAGTGTGTGTGTGTGCGAGTGTGTGTGTGTGCGAGTGTGTGTGTGTGCGAGTGTGTGTGTGTGCGAGTGTGTGTGTGTGCGAGTGTGTGTGTGTGCGAGTGTGTGTGTGTGCGAGTGTGTGTGTGTGCGAGTGTGTGTGTGTGCGAGTGTGTGTGTGTGCGAGTGTGTGTGTGTGCGAGTGTGTGTGTGTGCGAGTGTGTGTGTGTGCGAGTGTGTGTGTGTGCGAGTGTGTGTGTGTGCGAGTGTGTGTGTGTGCGAGTGTGTGTGTGTGCGAGTGTGTGTGTGTGCGAGTGTGTGTGTGTGCGAGTGTGTGTGTGTGCGAGTGTGTGTGTGTGCGAGTGTGTGTGTGTGCGAGTGTGTGTGTGTGCGAGTGTGTGTGTGTGCGAGTGTGTGTGTGTGCGAGTGTGTGTGTGTGCGAGTGTGTGTGTGTGCGAGTGTGTGTGTGTGCGAGTGTGTGTGTGTGCGAGTGTGTGTGTGTGCGAGTGTGTGTGTGTGCGAGTGTGTGTGTGTGCGAGTGTGTGTGTGTGCGAGTGTGTGTGTGTGCGAGTGTGTGTGTGTGCGAGTGTGTGTGTGTGCGAGTGTGTGTGTGTGCGAGTGTGTGTGTGTGCGAGTGTGTGTGTGTGCGAGTGTGTGTGTGTGCGAGTGTGTGTGTGTGCGAGTGTGTGTGTGTGCGAGTGTGTGTGTGTGCGAGTGTGTGTGTGTGCGAGTGTGTGTGTGTGCGAGTGTGTGTGTGTGCGAGTGTGTGTGTGTGCGAGTGTGTGTGTGTGCGAGTGTGTGTGTGTGCGAGTGTGTGTGTGTGCGAGTGTGTGTGTGTGCGAGTGTGTGTGTGTGCGAGTGTGTGTGTGTGCGAGTGTGTGTGTGTGCGAGTGTGTGTGTGTGCGAGTGTGTGTGTGTGCGAGTGTGTGTGTGTGCGAGTGTGTGTGTGTGCGAGTGTGTGTGTGTGCGAGTGTGTGTGTGTGCGAGTGTGTGTGTGTGCGAGTGTGTGTGTGTGCGAGTGTGTGTGTGTGCGAGTGTGTGTGTGTGCGAGTGTGTGTGTGTGCGAGTGTGTGTGTGTGCGAGTGTGTGTGTGTGCGAGTGTGTGTGTGTGCGAGTGTGTGTGTGTGCGAGTGTGTGTGTGTGCGAGTGTGTGTGTGTGCGAGTGTGTGTGTGTGCGAGTGTGTGTGTGTGCGAGTGTGTGTGTGTGCGAGTGTGTGTGTGTGCGAGTGTGTGTGTGTGCGAGTGTGTGTGTGTGCGAGTGTGTGTGTGTGCGAGTGTGTGTGTGTGCGAGTGTGTGTGTGTGCGAGTGTGTGTGTGTGCGAGTGTGTGTGTGTGCGAGTGTGTGTGTGTGAGAGCGTGTGTGTGTGTGTGATCATGTGAGTGAGCGAGTGAGTGTGTGTGTGTAAGGGAGTGAGTGAGAGTGAGTGTGTGTGTGTAAGGGAGTGAGTGAGCATGCGTGTGAGTGAGCGTGCGTGTGTGTGAGCGAGTGAGTGAGCGTGTGTGTGTGTGTGTGTGTGTGTGTGTGAGTGAGTGTGTGAGTGAGCGGGTGAGGGGGCGTGTGCGCGTGTG